TATTTATAAAGTCTGTTAATTAAATATTGTTAATTCAATACATGTTTGTATTTAAATTGTGTTTTAAAATTTGTTATTTATCTTTGGTATCTTATATAGATAAATTAGGTACACAAATCGTCGCCAAACCTATCCATTGAGTTCTTCGTATACTTTAAACACATTTTTATTTATAACACAATTATATAAATTTTCAAATATAAGTTTTAAAATTATTATTAGTAAATAAATTAACTATAATGAAATTTAAAAATGTAATAATATGGCAAACTTGGCAAAAAATTTCTAGATTTCATCTTTTCAATGAAATGTAATACAAATGATAAAGCAAACAATATAAGCATTAAATAGAAGATTATTATTACCATGGTAACTTTTTTATTATGTGTACCTAATTTATCTATATAAGATACCAAAGATAAATAACAAATTTTAAAACACAATTTAAATACAAACATGTATTGAATTAACAATATTTAATTAACAGACTTTATAAATACAGATATTTAGTATTTTTTTAAAACTTTTAAGTAAATTATTTATTACTTGTCATATTTGTTAATAGCAACAGCAATAATGTTTTTATTTTCTTACAAAACTTAATTTTATATAATAAATGATAATAAAATTGTAAGCTGTTTCGACAATTTATATCTCATTATTTTACAAAATTTTATGTGCATTTTTAAAAGGAAAAATAATCAAATATTTTTAAAGTGTTAAATGTTTAAACAAAATAATAACATAACGATATTTGTCCTGATAATATTTTAATAAGATTACTGTGCACGTCTAAATATACGCACCGCATGGTTACGTGGTCGTATTTCTCCCCCGGTAACAAAATATTTTTGGTATAAATGATTTTGTCCAGCATTGGACCCTGTATAAATATAGTTACTCCATTGACCCGGATTTGTATTAATGTGTTTATTTGTGTCGATATTGCTTTCAATCCTATCTACAGCTCATAATCGTGGTGCGTTCTCAGACTGAGTACCTTGCTCAAAACCCAAACTTCCACCACCTTCGGCCCGGAAAAAGTGACCCGCGTAATTTGACGTTACATCCTCCCATGTATATTTAGGCCACAAGTATTTAGGATCAGTTTGATTGGGAAGTTGAATATATATAAAGCCTATGGGCACCTGATATTGTTCAATTTCTTTCATTTTGACCACAGTTTTGTCTAATACCCGGCGAATGTCACTCACAATGCGCTCAATACGTTTATCAGACCACATGATCACACGTTTGCATACGTAGGCATTTTTCTTTGTGCATGATACATCCAGCCATTTACCAAGGTTGGCACTGTCTGTTTGCATTTCAACACAGTTGCCATCGTTAACGGGTCGGCCGGACATCCAATTCTCGTATTCACCACTACTTCTGTCCGTCCATACGATGTGTTTGTCTTTGACGCCGGCGTCGAGCCATATATTGTCTACCATTTGGTATTTGACAATCATTTGATTTATGAAGGCTTGTTCTGTGGGTGAATTAATTGTAGGTAGGGTTGAGTCGAGTTGTTTTTGGCAACCATTCACTACAGTGTTGTAGTCATCCAAACCACCTGGCACATATTTATAGCATACATCGTAGTAACTGTCATGAAATAAGTCCCAACCATCGCCACAAACATTGGCCCAGCTCAGTAAACTTGCTATTAGTGTCGCAGATGTAAGTTAATTATTAACAATATTTTGTATATGAATGTGTTTTATTACATTATATCATTGATAATTATGATTTTAAATTTAGTATTAGATTAATATAGTTTATACCTACTCGCAAAGCATGAGATGATTACAATAGAATACAACGCATACATTATTACTTAAATATAATAGTTTTGGAACTAATGAACTAAACTATTGTTGATTAATAACATACAGTATAATAACTTGAATTAGTTTGTATAACAAAATAAACTAAACATACTCTCAGAATAATTGTTAGTAATACCAGTACTGTATGTTTTTATATAAGTTAGTGTACAGTAGTTTTTATTAATAAAAACGCATTTTCAAAACGTCAATTATATATTTGAATAGTGTTTCACCTTGAGTTTGATTATAAAATTCAATTTTATTGAATTTCAAATATGTATTTTATTGACAAATTCTATAAATATTTATTATTTTTACAGAAACTTATTAAATAATATAGTTCCAAGCAAACTTAGAATTTATATAATCTTAAAAATTCAGCAACAAATTATAATAATATTACTCTATTGTAAAGCCAATGTTTAAAATAATTACATTAGTTTAATCGGCAGTAGTTAATTATTTGATGCGTTTAAATATGCGAATGGCCTGGTTGACGGGCCGCACTTCACCACCGGTTTCAAAATAGCGATTGAATATTCCAGTTTGGTTACCCCATAGAAACTCACCTGAAAAAATCCACTCGCTCCATTGGCCTGGTTCAATATTCATTGAGTAACGCCAATAAGTGTCATTATCTTTTCGCTAAATTTTGGCCAACCTAGGTGCATTATAAGCCTGTATACCTTTATTAAACCCTAGGCTATCTCCGCCGTCGGCCCGGAAAAACTGACCCGCGTATGTGTCCGTCACATCTGACCACTCGTATGCGGGCCACAGTGTTTTGGGCGCTGACTGCGAGGGCATCTGTACATATATGAAACCCATGGGCACCTGACTTTGCTTTAATTGTGATATTTCAGCTAGTGCTTCGTTCAACAATCGTCGATTGTCCCTAATCAAACGCTCCATACGCTGCGCAGACCAAATCACCACTCGCTTACATAAAATTGCATTTTTCTTGTTACAAGGTATGTCTTGCCATTCGCCCATGTTCGCCTGATCGTGTATCAGCTCCACGCAGTTACTATCGTCGACGAGGTGGCCAGTCATCCAATTTTCGTATTCACCACTACTACTGTCCTTCCATACGATGTGCTTGTTTTTGATGCCGGCGTCGAGCCATATATTTTCTACCATTTTGTATTTGACAATTAAATTATTGATGAAGTCCTGCTCTGCCTGTGAGTTAATCGTGGGTAGCGTTGAGTCCATTTCACTTCGACAACCTAACACTACAGTCTGATAATCACCCAAACCATCGGAAATATATTTATAGCATATATCGTAAATATCGTCGTGAAATAAATCTTAACCATCCCCGCATACTCCGTCCCCACGAGTTAGCCTAGCTAATTAATAATTATATTTTTAAAATTCATTCATATTTGGTAAATCATATTTATTTTTATTTATAATAAATGTTTATAGTACATACTTCCAAGGCATATAGTCATTATTATTAAAGGTAATTTATACATTATTTAATGAATATTTTATAATATAAAAATACTTATTTTAAAATTATTGTAATAAATAAAAGTTATTTATTGTATTTATACTTTATTTTTCCTTCAATTAAATCTTACATAAGAACTAATGGATTACAATTATCTAATATAAAATGGATATGATAATTTTTTATTTATCATGTTATTGTTAAAATACAATTGTGTCATATTTCTATATTAAGTATTTTAACTAAAAATTGATTAAGCTAGGTTATAAAAATTACAATTAATTTTTAAAAACAATAAAATCATTTTTTCTGATAAAAATATTTCTCACAATGATTAATTACTAAAATAACAATTTTTGATTCAATATTAGATTAATAAGTGGATACTTAAATTATCACTATTTTAAATCAATTGTGTATTCTCTTAATTTATCAAATATTCAGTTATTATATACTAACTATTGATACTAAAATATAATAAGATTTACCAATTCATTATTTTACTAAATAATTATGTTAAAATATTCTCACAATATTTATAATATTACGCGTTAATGTATTGTTTTATAATCTTACTAGATTATAAATGATTATTAAATTAAAATAAATAAGTAAATTTAACAAATGCATCAATATTAAAAATATAATTATTTAATTAAATTGTTGCATTAAATATAAGTGTTCCATATA